TCTTTATTGAACGACACTCAAAAGTATTAAGTCAAATATTATACAAGTTCATAAATATCGCATTATGTGGGTACACACAGCCCATCTTCTTGTATGTTAACGCACTCAAGGTGAGTTTTGAATCAGCAGTTGAAACCATCTATTGTGTCTTGGCTGCTATCTCATTTCCGAATATTTCATTAAATCATAGATATTTAAGAGTAAAACTTTGCACCAGCCTCTTCTCTAAATATGAATTGACTCTAAATTCTAGATAATAAGACCTGATTAAGGGGTACCAAGGAGTGGCTCCTATGCGCATTCAAAATTGTAGTTTTTCTTAAACGAGACTTTTGAGATACTGAAAGAACGCACCTGCACCACATGCACTATACACACTATTACCTTTGATAGCTTCCTGAATATATCAATAATCATTATTTTGTGTCGTGAGAAAACTAAATAGGTATCAATCAGACAGAACATACACTTATGACAGTGGAATGTGAAAAATTTCGCAGATCGCCAAATTCGCTGATGTCGCCGATGTCGGACTTTGCGTCTTTCCGCCATAACTCCCTTCTCTCAAATAGATAATCCAGCGGTGAAAGGTAGACGGAGACATGGTTTTTAAAGCGTGAAAATAAGGTGAATTCTAGAAAAATCAGTGTCTACCCAAATTCTACTTACCATAACGCTGAAATGAAAAGCTAGCTGGACAGGTGGAAGTGATTTTTGTAATAAACAAGCCAGATTACCTCTATGAGCAATTTTGAGAAAACCCGAGTTTTTAGATTTTTTCGCATTTCACGCTTCGAGCTCTCTATGAGTTTTCGCGAATAAGTTGAAGGTAATAGATTGATCGGAAACTTTGGCTATAGTGGTTTTTTGATAGCTGTACCAAAGGTGTAGTGTCCTTACTCACTGTAGCGCTTTACAGTAAATTTACGATGAAAGAGCTGAAGCTGAACTACGCGAGCTCCGAAAGTTGATTGTACTTTTCGCCCGACTATCAAGGCAAAATCCCTTGCTTTTTCAGGCCTGGCAATCTATAGAAACTCTGTTATCAAACCGTGCTTAAATTATTCTGTCGCTCAGAATGTTCGCTGGGCAGCGCATTCACAAAGTCGCCTTCTCATGCTTCTAATTCAAAACTGGAGAGCATATGCTTTGAAGAAATTTTGTCGAAAGCAATTGTGTATATCAATATGAAAGCATTCACGACTACATATCATCACACATTCGCTTGGGGTGAAGTTTGGATACAATACGAGCTCTCTCATGTCCAGCCCTAAGCAAGAGAAGGTGACTTTGTGAACGTGCTGCCCATCGAACACTCTAAGCGACAGGATTCAAGCACGGTTTGATAACAGAGTTTCTATAGATTGCCAAGCTTGAAAAAGCTAGGAAAACCTTGATAGTCGGGCGAAAAGTACAATCAACTTTCGGAGCTCGCGTAGTTCAGCTTCAGCCCTTTCGTCGTAAATTCACTGTAAAGCGCTACAGTGAGTAAGGACTACACCTTTCGTAAACAGATATCAAAAACCACTATTGGCGAAGTTCCCGATTAATCTATTACCTTCAACTTATTCGCGAAAACTCATGGAGAGCTCGAAGCGTGAAATGTGAAAAAATCGAAAAGCTCGGGTTTTCTCGAAATTTTGCTCATAGAGGTAATCTGGCCTGTTTATCACAAAAATCACTTCCACCTGTCCAGCTAGCTTTTCATTGTAGCGTTATGGTAAATAGATTTAGGAGGCATGGATTTTTCTAGAATTCACATCTTGTTTTCGCGCTTAAAAGCATGTCTCAGTCTACTTTTCACAGCTGGATTGTCTACGAAAACAGCTCTTTTCGATTCACCTAATCGGAATCTTTTAGAAGTGATATGGGCTGCGCCACAGCGTTGCAAAGAGGCGTTTACAGAAAAAAATGAAGCCCACTGGAAGCAGTATATCGTAGTCATGCGATGTGTCACTTTGCTCATATAAGCAACGATGCATGCTGATTACGAAGATTATAATTGTTTTGCTAATCATAATGCTACTGTAAATTTATGTTTGTTTGACGGCAAGTGGTTCATGTACTTACTAAGTTCACGTACCCCTTTCTCTTTTTTTCACGACAAAAAACGATATGATGGGTGGCGGACTTTATGAAAAGCGCGCGCTTAAGCAGGCGTGTGTCATTAAGGTGCGCACCGTTAGCCCCGCCTATCGCAAGATGGACGAGTTTTTTGTTGTACAGCTCTAGCACTGGTTCATGGCCATGTTCCCTAGTCAAGTGAAAGCAACTTCTGATAGTGAGTTATAAGCTTGTTGCAAGCTGGGGTGAAGCTTGACTATACATAATTTTGTTTTGCTTTCTTGTTTCTTTTTTGGCAGTCATGAACAGCTAATGTGTTGATCGTGAAATTCAAGAGATTTGCTGATTTACCTATGTATAACCGGTGACTCGTGCATATCCAACTTTGAAGTGTGAAATCAATCTAGAACACCTAAAGCATGATTGTCTGAGTGACCTCACATCTTACGACTAGTTTACACGCAATTTCGATTGAGTTACAGATCAGTTTATACTGAGGGTAACAGTTTTTGAAAGCAAACAAAAGAATTTTGTTATCTGAAGCAGATTCAAAAAAATATAAGTGCACTGTGATTTTCCTTTTTCTGAAATTTGAAAAAGTTTGTGTGATATATGTGACCGCATATTTGCAAAACGTGCGATATCTGATTATGCGAAACCTTACCAAATTTAATGATGTACATAATTTATCGAAATTAGTTTGCTTGAAACAAAATTCGCCTATAATGCTTGTTTTGAATTCTCGTCGCAAATCTGGTTTTAGCTACGATTAGGGTTTCAAAACTTACTTTTCCGATAAAAAATAAAATTGTTTTGGTCATTTCAGCAATGATAACAATATTTCTCGGTAGCTGACTTCTTTTTGAACTAAACTTGTGGGTGCACAATAAAGAATGTACAGTATAGTAACAGATGTGAATAAAGAAAAACACTTTTCCAAGCATGAAATAATTCCCTCATACTTACAATAAACCAATTTGGACAAACCTACTGGGAACAAATAACTGAAATACATTGAGAAAAGCTTGCGAATAAATTTAAATATTAAGTTGATTCATAAATAATGCACGTTTTCTATACTTCAACTTTCAACCGAGATCTTTTTTGAAAGGACATTTCTGGGCGCAATAAAAACTACTGTAACCAACAAATGAGTGGCTATGAAACAGATACTTTTGCGTGACTGTATCTACCACAAAAAAGATTTTCTGGCCTGAAGAATGCCAACAACTTTTCTTAGAAGCCTCCACTTTGAGAGAGCATAACTTATGTTGAAATGAAGTAGAATAAAGCAGACTTCGCTTCTCGTGTAGCTAAGGGTCTCTTGAGCAGCAAGACTAAGTTTGGATTTGACGGGATTTTTTGAAAGAAAATATCGCGAAAAAGTCGAAGGTACCCACTTTTTCTGGCATCTCGGCGGGTTCAAAAATCGGTCATTTTTGAAATTATTTCATTTTTTCCGCTGGAAAATAAGAAAACCCTAGCGCTTTTCTACCATCAAATGAACTAGGTCTACACTTGCTGGATAGTGCAAAAGACCTGCAATCGCCTTTTGCTTCAAAGTTCTATATGGCACGGAAGAGCCGCGACGATCATTCAATCGCAATTGAATTTCTCGGCTCAGAATTCATGGAGGATTTTGTTCAAACAGCATCTTGTAGCACAAGTTTCTTTAATCCCTATGCATATTTTCTAAAATTAATCCGGCTATTCCTCATGGATTTAGGGCAAAAAGAATGATGAGAAGCAAAAATTAGGGGGTTTAGTCTCTTTTATTTGAAGGCTCAGAACTTTGGAATGAACGAAGATTTACGAAAGCGATGGGCAGCATAAGAAACAAGAAAAAACGCTCTTTTAGACAATACAAAAAGTTCTTGAGGATATTGGTTACTCGTCAAATACTAGCTCCTGGAAGAAGAGGTGAGAAAAACGTGCATTAATTATGAATCAACCTAATATAATGAAAAAAGATCTGAAAAATGATTTTCAATTCATTTGAAAGTTTGAAATCTACTGTTATCCAAATTGCAACCAACTGAAGAAGCAAGAACGAAATATCAGAGAGTTTTCCAATAATTGCAACACATTCCTAGGCTAATTAACAAGGGGCGGAGCGATCAGCGCACCGCGTACGGTACCCAGCTGGCGGCTGGCACATGCTATCGTTCATAAAGTCATACACCCCGACATGATTCCCTGCAGGAAACACTTTGCAAATACTCTTCCATCAAACGCTCTTTATCTTAAGCCGTTGCCTGCCTTGCCTGCTCATGCGCCGAATTACACACCCTAGAAAACACCACCACAGGATGCAACGGGTTCCTACCACGCAATTACCGTGAGCGAGCCGATTACAGCAGTTCGCTGAGCTAAGCGAGCTGAATCCAAATCTGTTTTCAAATTTGAAATTCATTGAGAAAGAAGGGAGTTTTGGCGGAAAGACGCGAAGTCCGACATCATCGACTTTGGCGACATCGGCGGAGTTTTCACATTCCACTGTCATAACTGCAAATTGGATCTGAATAGAATTGAAAAATTTTTAATACGATTAAAATTTGAGTATATTTTGTATATTTTGTATAGTAGACTGAATAAGGGGATAACAAGGAGTAACTCATATGTGCATTCAGAAGTGTACTTTTTCTTGACCGAGAATTCTACGAAGTGCTGAAGAAAAAAAAGCGTTTACCCTTTGATTCAACTGGATTGACAGCTGGAAGGGGGGGGGGGGGGGGTCGTGGTCTAGTTAAGGCTAGAAGGAGCGCGAGAGAGATGCAGATTGCGTCGCGGTCGCGAGCTAGTATAATCAGGTACAGAGCCCCATCTTCTAACCGCCAATCCAATTAACAGAGGTTATTTCCTCGTTAAGTACAGCATGCGTCAAAATTGAAAAGCAGGAAAAATGACTAAATTCACTTTATTCTCATTCAACCAGGCACTACTTTTCTATTTCTGCAGAGAGTTGGCAAAACCGATCCGTTGCTGATCGACATCATAGATGTTACAGTACTGACGAATGAAGGGGTCGCCAAGGATCCATGCAGGTCCAAATCCGAATGTGTTCATTCCGAAGATTGCTAGCAAACAACGACCATCTCCTGAGGGGATGACCATGTTGGCTGCGCCTATGGTGTATTTGTTACCACCAATTGTCAAATCAAGACTGGGAGTTGCGTTGCAATCAATGAAGTAGACTTGGTCATCGGAATCGTACTTAAAATATGATATAGAACAACTAATGAGACCATTGAACGATGGGAAAGAAAATTTTGAAAATTACTGTAGCTCCATTAGCCTGAGCAATCGAATTGGCGATTGAAGTAGGAGCAGCAAGAAGTGAAGTTCCAGTGTCAGAAATTGCTTGCCACCCTTTGTTGGAAGAATACGTGTTCGATGCAACGCCGTCAAGCTGGATTTGTGATTATCACATATTTCTTACAAAATCTCATTATTGAAAATCTCACCTTGAACTGGTAGTATGTAGCAGAAGAGAGAGGTTGATAAGCGAGGACAGGTCCGCAATTTGTGGTGTCCATTCCTCCATAGGTATAAACTCCACCATAGACGTTGTCTTGATCTAAACACTTTTGAGATATTCGCTAAGTTTGTAGTGCTGTCGCATCAAAAATTCGACAAAAGCTTGCAAGCCCTTCGTTAAAGGCACCGCCTATCCAAAGTGAGGGTTGACGAGATTCGATGGCATACTAATGTGGGTCTCCACACTGTGGGCCTCCACACTAGGCCAACCCCCAAGCCCTTTGCATTCCTTTGATGGATATAATAAATATTGCCCACAAGTCTTGTACAAAAGTTTTCTTGAGAAATCGTAACTATCTTTCCACAATGACTGGATGCTTCTTCGAATAGTTACTATTATTATTATTTTACTTTTTTTTAACTCGACATCTCGATTCTGTTTTGAAGAAAATTTTTGGTACAGCTATTTAGATAGAGCATTATTGTATTCAAAAGATGTAAATTACAGCTTGAAACATTGTTTTCAACCTTTTTAGACAAATTTTTAGCAATTCTCAACTTTTTTTAGGTGAATTTTTAGCATTTTTTCAATGCAAGAATCATGGATAGACCTAACACATCCGTATTTCAGGCAGGTAAAATTATGGTGTTGTTAATGGGTGTTTGCTGCAAAGACATCATTTTCGTTATTTGAATGAAAATTTGAATAAACTTATACTATACATAGCTCTATGAAGTCAAACAGTATATTGCCAGCGTGATAATTCCCTTAACAAAAACGAAACAGATAATAAGTTATTCCGTGGCATATATAGCGAGAAATTTTAGGTCGTTTCATAAGTTCGTAGAGTTTTTACGTCTTTAGTCTCGTCCTCATTTCTTTGAGGAGCAGTTGATTTTCGCCAAGATGCTCATATCATTGAGAAGAGCTGATCATGGCCTTTAAAATAAATTAGTTACTTTTGATGGAAGGCTATCTGTTCTGATTCATTTGCTTCCAAAGAAGGGTTTTTCAAGAAAAAGAATGGCATTTGCCTATTTTTTCTTACAAAAAAAGTGCACTTTGCGCACATTTTTGCCGCCCTTAGACAATGGCATTTTCTCGTTAATATGAAACAAACAAGAATTGAGTTGCTTTGAAAAACGAAGAATTTGCAAGGTGTTCCCTAAGCAAGACGTTTTGCAGGTTGTGCAGGAATTTCTGCACTGAGAATTGCTAGGCAAGAACAGTACGGTCCTTTATACCGTACGCAACCCAACTGCACAGTCCAAACGAAGCATTTACTGCATTAAAGGCCTGATAAACAGGTCCAGTGAGCTTTTTTGCGCGACAAACATAGGCTTCCATGGCAAGCGGTCGTCATTGTCCTGCAAGATTTACCCGGGCAGTGTTTGGTATACAATGTACTCCAGAAATCTCGCTCTAGCATATTATCATGTTCCAGTCTATCTATACATTACATGAACGGGGCCTGTTTTGCTACTGAAGACCATCCCAGGCGCTGGTTAGACGAGTTTTTTGGGACCAGACCCGTTGAGTTCAAAAACAAGATAAATGGAAATCTGATGGCGTGGTGGCATAAGGTTGTGCGCAACAGCGGAAGAAACATCATTAACTGAATTTTGCTAAAAATTTCGTCTTTTCTCTGATATAATAAGACTCTACACTTATGAAACGACCTAGTACATAGAGGATTGTAGATTTGCAGGCATTCCGAAACGATATTTTGAGATTTCTCGATGGGAAACCTCAAACCGACTTGGTACACGTCATAGCAAATGACGTGTACCAAGTCGGTTAAAGGTTGCTTGAGGTAAATCATAGATGTGACAAACCTCCAACGTGCTCAAGGAAAACGGTGAAAATGGGCTGATCTACGAGCCCTTGCGCGACGGCATTGAAGAACGGGGGAGTGACGCCATCAACAGCAATAGTTGGGAAGGCCAAACCAAGAATGCCATCGATGGGTTGCTGAAACATTTTTTCATGAAAGAGACGCCTTAGAAAATGGAGCGAACCTTTCTTAATAGAATGCGAAGTAGATTTTTACCATGAGAAATGCTACTGAATCAACAAACGCAGGGAATAAAAAGCAATCAGTTTCTCCTACTTCCTTGTAACATTAAAAGAGACATTGATGAGAGCAAATTGAATGGATTAGATGTAATCATCCATATTGTTGTTGGTATGGTCACAACCCTCTCCCCCCCCCCCCATCGCGCAAAAAAATGGTCTATATCATCACAACTGTGCAGACCTTATATCTTGTTTGTAAATTTTCATAATTTTTCTGAATTATTACAGCCTTGGAGAAATGTATTGGGGAACTCCAAGATTTCGAGAACTGCAACTCAGTTTCTTTGTCAACTGAGAGTCACAAAATTTTTTCTCGCTGCGTGGATTATAACACTCGTTACTACAATTCTGTTTCCGTCTCCTTTCCTCAAAAACTTGTGGAACCGCTACTTCCAGATGCCAAAGATCACGTTTTGATTTACTTACGTCAGCGAAAAACGCAGCCAAACTTGTTGCTTGTCCAAAGACTGTATTTGGTACAGCGAGTTGATTTGTACCAATTCCACCGAATCGTACCGTATCCTGTCCCAAGAATCCAACTGCGGACCCAGTGCCATACTAGAAAAGAAAACGCAGGGTGAGGAAAACGCTTCAAAATTAGTAGAGTGCCATAACTCACTTGTATGGTCCAGTGCTGTCCATTTGCTTGATAAGTTGACGATTTTGCAGAGTTGAAGAAGTTCTTACCCTTGCAAGCATCAACGTGATCAGTGCTACAGCAAGATTGATCGCTGCACAAAGCTTCACAGATAACTGCAAATTAAACGCTAATTACTCTATGAAACTTCCAACTTTCTATGAAACTTTCAAAAAGGTTGGTTTTGGTTCCTTAGGCTTTATAAGGCGTGCGTTCACCGAAGCATTTTAATAAACGCTAATCGGTTCTTATCAGTCAAACCTACGGAGATTGTGCGAAGTAAGCAGTTTTCTTATGTAAGTAGATGCAATAGATTTGGGGAAAACCACGCTTACAAAAATTTGTTGAATTCTTCGCATACACAGATAATTCCGCGTACATTTAGAGTGTTTATTAGTTGTTTGATAAAGAAAACACATTCTGAATGAATGCTGAAAAAGTTTAGCAAGGACTTTAATTGAGTTTTAGCATTTAATGAGTAAAAAAAGACCAGAGCCATGCCTTACATAGAACTTTGGATGGATTATCCATGCTTCAAGCAGAAATATAAGTTTTGTAAAGTTCACGTAAAATCGGAGGTGATTCTCAGTCACACTGCATTTTACCCGAAGCAGTGCATACAATCAGGTTCTCAGACCAGCTTATCACAATGAAAATTTTTTAGCAGTCAAAATTTATCCCAAATTTAGCAAATCCTCACTTCCTGTTCCGCGGCAATTAGTATCCTGGCAATTTCCGTGTACTTGCCCGCATGTCGTGTCGGGAATCCAAAGATTTGAAGAGCCAGTATCAAGAATCACCTGAATACATCATTTTAAATTATTCATGAGACTGTTAATAGTCAAAACTGACTTGGAATTGTTGCTCAGGGGTTCCAATGGTGATATTTCCAATGTATTCCTCATCTTCGTAATCGTTCACCTAAAAGTAATTAATAAGCAGAGTATTTAGCAAATTGTGAATGAGTAACAAAAAGTCAAAAAAGTTTGTTCAATGTGTAATTTCATTGTTTTCGGTTGTTAGCGATGCATACAGATTTTTCAACGCTTTTTAGCCCATCACTATCGCTTCTCAGAAAGAAAATTCAGATAATATCGCTTTTAGGGTCATAGTTTCCAAATTAAGTAGAAATTTATGTCACATGAGCGGGAGAGGAGTATTTGGAGAGCAATACCTTGAAATGGTTTGAGCGAGTTGTAAAATAGTGCGAGTAGGTTGTTCATTGTTGTCAACAGAAATAATTCCACAAGACTAAGAATTGAAAATGGCTTTGTAAAGAAATTTCTTTTTGAAGTCTAAAGTCCAGATTATAAGTTCCCTAAAGACATTGAAAGCGAAATTACTTTGGAAGACGTTCTGAAAAGTTCTGGTGCCTCCACCGCTATCTATAGCATCCTTGTCAGTTACGTAGTACTACAAACCAGAAGATTGCTTGAGCGAAGTGATCGCAAAATGATCTAATTTTGATTACATCTAATATAAAACAAAAATCACGCAGCCTTTCATAGCGAATTTGTAAAGCTTTTTGCTTGTTATTTGACATTTTCGAAATTTTTATGCGGAAGGTGTGATCGTATTTTATAACAAGCTGTTCACTTACGACTTGTGGAACAACAGCAGCATTTCCATAATTATTCTCGAGTAGTATTCTTCTGGCGCTTTTCATCTTCAAATAACTTGCCCATGTCCCTTTGCGCATCATTTTTGTGCGTTGCGATTCGATCTTGGTAAGATGAACTTGATGGACAGCGGCCATCGTGCACAGCACGAGGGCTAGGAGTGCCAAGATCTGCCTCATCTGTAACGATCACTCTTGAGTTCTAATGCTTTCGACAGAGTCAGAGTCATGTCCGAACTCTGCAGTCGACGCATAGACAAGAATCCACACAAATTTATTTCAATCTTACTCCTTTTGTAGTTGTAGGAATTCGCAGATTAGAAGGTTTCAAGCACTTTTGAAAAACCAGTATTAAAAGGCGATTTCAAGGAGTGAAATTTCAATTCATGCAAATGCCCACATAACTGGATGTTTTGATTATCCGCAGAAGGTTCGAACAATTTGAAAATGAAGCGATTTCAATGATACAGTAACATAGTAGTGAAATATCGTATATCTTTCTAAGCTATTTTTCACATTCGATAATTTAGATTTTGTCAGTCGCAATGAAGCTTCCGATCACCAGTGTGGAAGATCAGAATAGGTTCCGAGCAGATTGTACTTTGCACATTCATAGATTTATGAAAAGGCTTGAGTTGCTCATACGCTGGCGTCTTTTATCAAACAGGATGGAAAGAGTATAGACGTGTTTTGCTAAATTTTTTCTCGCCAATGAAATGTTAATATTATTTGCATGTCACAAAAAGATTGCGTTACTAGCAGATATTTTTGCAGTTCAGTAAAAACATTTCATGCACCATATCCAAATAAAGATTAAAGCAGATTTTATTATGGAACTGTTTCCACCCACTTGAATCCAACATCGAATCGAATCGACCCTAAAGAGTATGAGAGCGGCTGCCAAAAAAATTTTTCCAAATTGTGTTGAACAGCTGTTTTAATTGTTTTGCGCAAATTAAAAGTTTGTGTAAATTAACTAAAAAAATTCGCAACCATATAAAGACTTTGAAATTTTCTTTGCATCATTCTCTGGCAAAGCTCTTCTTTTTCATGTGGAGTTCGGTCATATGGATGGCAAAAGTTGGGTACGTCTTAATTTGAAAACGTTTTTTTTTTTCAAGCTGGATTCAAATTGTTGCTTAACATTAAGCTCATAAATCCTTTAGTGTCGTGGAACTTTCTTTATGAATTAAGTAAACAAAAGTGATGCCCTCAATGATAAAGGTTTGGTGAATTGGTGATATAATGATGCACTCCGCTTCAATCTGCGTTTTTGAACATCATCAAAAGAGAAACAGGCATATTCAAAGAGTAGCTATAAAGGTTCCATATACACAGTGTGGCTTGGGAAAACGGTAGAGTAATAAGTCAAACGCAGCACACTATCAGCGCTTTGGTGTTGACTTATGCTGCCGAGAGTTGAACTGGACATTACGCATGAAGCGATAGTGCGTTATCAAACAAGCTGATAGGCTGGTTGACTTGCGGAACTTCGAGCTTCAGAATATTTAATATTTTAGGCTAAACCGGAAAAGTTCGAAGTGAGTTATCCTGTATCATTTGAATTTATATAAGTACATTACACAGTTGTAATGTGCCATATCGCCATATCAAACAAGGAACGCTTTTATATTCGTGATGTGTAAGTACTCATATCCACCTGGGACGGGGGCCAATGAACGCTTTGCACACGTCGGATTAACAAGCTTGATTCTCTCCTCGAACTCCCGAGTCCTTCAGAATGTGGCAATTATCTAACAAAGGAATGGTCAGGGCCGGTAGTAATCTACCCTACCTGGTGGCATCATAGATGCCGGCAAGTTGGCACACATCGCGGAAAGATGCCAACTCTGCCGGCAGCTCGCGGAGTGATTGTAGGTTTCAATAATCCTATGTAACCTTGGCACGCAATCATTTCGCACATTAAATTTTGATGACGCAGACAGCCGCAAAATTGCTACCTCGCGCGCGTTCGAACCTATGTGCGTTAGCTTGAAGTGCCACCACGTTAACCATTCGACCATTCGGTCAGCCATTGCCTTTTGCACCAGCAATAGGAGGAACGCACTGGTGAATGGCTGCCTATAAAAGGGATCGATACATTGCGTGAAAGACTTTGACCTGAAAGAACAGCTGATTGATATGAGCGAGAGAGGAGCGAAATCGGTGCAAACTGAGATTTATAAGAGATTGCCAAAACAGCTCGTGTTTTATATGATTCTAAGGCATTAGTGGATTTTTTCTTTGTAAGAAAATCATCATTTCAAAAAAGAAAAACCCATATAATGAGAAAAATGATAGTTTTTTCATGAAAAGTGGAATTTTTGATTTTTTCGCCTGACGTAAATTGTGTGATATCGCCGCAATTCGCAAACTCGCAGACGCCGTCGGGAAAGGTGCCACCACCTCGACGTGGTAGGGGCACGTCGAGATGCCGGCAGCTCGCTCTCTCAAAAGAGCACGCTATTTCCCGTGCTCTCTGACCTGCCGGCAGCTGCCATCTCGCGGATTCCGGCAACCTGCCGGCAGGTTGCCGGCAACTGACATCGCGAAGTTGCCGGCAGCTCCTCCTGGAATTCCAGATATTTCACTAAAGGAGGAGTTCTGGAGCCGCAGATTTTTATGAAGTTTTCTACAGAGTCGAGGCGGCAACTTTATCGAGAAAATTTTTTGAAAAAAGGCCTGGGACGGCCTAAATTTCGGTTCTTAGTTTCTGGCCACCTCGCGGAAAGGTGCCAGCAACCTGCCGACGAGACCTGCCGCCAGGTCGGGGGGATTACTACCGGCCCAGAAGTCGAAGTGGCTAATCCAAGCAATTTGCCTACCATTCGATGCAGCATTCAACGCTGATTCAAATCTGTATTCTAAATCTGCTTAGCGCCTTTCTGGACGAGTTTAAGAGCAGTTTTAGGCGAAAAAGGCGAAAAAAACGTACATAAAAGTTGCAAAATTGAGCACATTATAGTTCTTTTGGTTCATCTTTAGGTGTGGGCTACAATACGATCTCTTAGCAAAATAACGGCCTTTAACTTCTTGTAACTTCGCCCACATAGGCCCTAAACAGATATGTAATGCAGACCAGTTCGATTTCGGATATTTCCCTTGTAAGCTTGGGAGATACGACAGGAACCAACCCAATACTTTTTCTAACAAAAAAGTGTTTTATAATTTTTTGCCCTCCCCGGTTGCTGTGTAAACTTCATTACCGTTCGCAATCTGTGAAAAAATAACGCATTTTGAAGTAGACTCAAGCTACGTTCAGTGAGTCGGGCTACGGTTGCGTGTGTCGGGCGAGGTGTCGAAATTAGGTGAGATTCGTCTGAACTTGACATCACCAAAGCGTGGCCATATCTCGCTTTGGACTGAACGGATTCTGAATTCAGAGACAACATTTAACTCAGCTCGTGCAGCGCAACTTCTGATGTGTTGGAAGATGGTATTTGTAGTAGAAATCAATCTGTATGGACCCGTCCTCTTCAAATTTTGCACGGAAGGCTTATCCGGTATGCTCATAAGAAATTATATCTTATAGCAATGGTAAAAGCACGGTGAGATTACCTCAACTTGTAGTTTTTGGCACATTTTTCAGGGGGTTTATCAAATGTGCTGATATTAATCATTCGGCAACGGAGGTATTTGGGCCCGCAGTAGTCTACGCATGTTGGCATAAGACATGACGGCGAGCTCGCGAACCTCACGACAACCACATTTTTTTGGTGTGAGGTTCGCGAATTCCTATGTCTTCCTTATAGAGGTAATTATAACGCAAATTGAGATTTATCCATACCCCCGATACATAGAGCCATGTACTCTGGTAACCTTCACTTGGAGGCTATAAGAGGACAAAACCTTCACCTGGAAAAAAACAGAAGTCATCCGGAGTTTCGCCTCGGATGTTTCAATCCTGACCACATCGGAACGAATGTGAATGAAGCAAAACAGGGAAGAATATCGTAGATTTTCGCAGCAAAATCGAGATTTTGCGTTTTTATGGCCTGTTCTACTCTAAAAAGAAAGTTTTTGGGAAAGTTTTTCCAGATTTTAAGACAACATTTCCCAATCAACCTCTTATTTGACAAAAAAACTTTCAGAAGTTTAGGAAAGCTGTTGGAGTTAAATAAGAGCGAGGAATTGCGCTTAAATGTTGCGCAGAGAGTCGCGCACAGAAATGCTGTTCTATTTCGTTAATGTGTGATTTTCAACGGTTGGGACGCTGTCAGTACTCCTCGTCGTGTCATGACGATCAGAATGATACATAATGTTGCAGGGTTTCGTTGAGACTCCGCGGAGATCTACGACTAGAGCCAAATGCCCCGTCGGCTCTGGTCTGTCTCCGCTGCTCGTCTGCGTCTCTGCGCGCTACCTCGCTACCCCAAACCCGGGACGCGGGGCATTTGACTCTGGTGCTCCTTTTCTTCGCTGTTTCGCACCCAATTTTAACAAGCTATATATCATCTTGAAGCTCTTGATCTCTATTTTCACACCGACAAAGTCCCAAAACCACATTTTTTGTTTGAACGAGATTTTCCTCAAAAACCTTGTTTTCGAAAATCTCGTATTTTCTTCATAGTTCAACTTTTTTATGCGGTTTTCTCGTGCGTTCTATAGATCTCGTCTTTGCTCTTAATGCAAACAACCACCCAGTGCTTATTTCTTCGATTACGGTAAAAATTTTTGTGAGAAATCGTAAAAAGTGCATTTTTCTTTACCTTGTTTTCTTTTAGTGTCTTCGCAGCAATTTTTTTCCAGCTTGGGTGATTATTGCTCAGACCATAAAAACGCAAAATCTCGATTTGCTGAGAAAATCTATGATATTCTTCGCTATATTCTTTTGGCAGCCTCTTTCATACTCTTTAGGGTCGATTCGATTCAATGTTGGATCCAAGTGAGTGGAAACAGTTCCATAATAAAATTTGCATTGATCTTTATTTGGATATGGTGCATAAAATGTTTTTACTTCTGGAACTGCAGAAATATCTGCCAGTAACGCAATCTTTTTGTGACATGCAAATAATATTAACACTTCACTGGCGAAAAAAAAAATTAGCAGAACACGTCTATACTCTTTCCACACTGTTTGATAAAAAACGCCAGCGTATGAGCAACTCGAGCCTTTTCATAAATCTATGTGTGCAAAGTACGCCCTGCTCGGAAACTATTCTAATCTTCTACACTGGAGAATGAGTTCTGCATTGAATGCTACAAAGATCTCTTGAAAATCTTCGTTTGAAGAAAAAAGCGAAATTGATTTCGGAACGACCTAATAAATTAGTTCACGACCTTGTAAGGAAAAAATACCAGGTTGCAGCGAATCGAAAAGTAATTCATATCACCAGAGCGATAACGCTCTGGTGATATGAATTACTAACGCTACGTCCAAATCTGCTATCATTTCCTGCAGAAAAACCACGACCTGTGCGCGCGAAAGTCCAAATTTTCAATCCTCAAGTTGCATGAAATCAGAAGCTGTGAACGCCTATTCGAATTTACGGTAACTTTGTCTTCGTAGTCAATATTCCTTTATACAGGGTGTCCCAAAAGTAAGTACACACTTTTCAATCGTTATTATCTCTCTTCCCTATGTGTCTTTTCCCGCCATTTAAGTGCCATTCTGTAGAGCAGGCTTTAACTTAGATTTACAGTATCGAGCAAATCACTGGTCTCTCTTCATTACTGTAGGATTACTGTAGGAACCTTGACAAGGATTTTAGGCCATTGGAAGCCATATTCTGCCCCGAAACAAAACCAAACAAGTCAAAAACTCTTAAATTGTGAAAATGGAAGCCGCTGATTACGAATATGAAAATTCTACTTTATTATAATGTTTCTTTCCAACGTTATCCCAGGTAAACCGTAATAAATAAACTCCCAGTATCGTCAGAAATGTGATTACGCCGTCAAAAAAGCAGAAAACACTCGTAAAAAGTTGTTAGGTAGAATCAGCATGCGCGAAAACCCTAGCACACAATTTTTCAAATTTTTCGAAAAAATTCTCTCAGACGGCATATCTCACAATGGTTCCACATGCTGGAAGTTCTCACCGTAATCCTACAGCAACGAAGAGAGATCAGTGACGTGCTCGACAGTGTAAATCTAAGTTGAAGCATACTCTACAGAATGGTACTTTACCGGCAAAAAAAGACCCATTGGGAAGAGAGATATTGACGATTGAAAAGTGTGTACTTACTTTTGGAACACCCTGTATTTTAATTCATTCATACGCCTTCAAAAGCAGAAACATCAAAGTGTTAGTCATACGTGAAACACAGTATCAACAAAAAATATGTATAAATAAATCACCAAGTCATTCTAAGCCCAGTCTGGACAACTATATAGAAAGAAAAAGCGTAAGTTTAAGTGTTGCACATAATAAGCTTGAATGGGCTCCATGGAGAGGTACCCATGCACCCGCGTTTATTTTATTCATAAAAGCAAGCCGAAAGTTCGGCTGGCGGATATACTGCAAGCCCCGACACGGCTTGCTAGGAGGGTACTGAGCACCGATAACTAACGCTTGATCAATCTGCAAACTTTCTGGTTATCGGTACTCAGTACCCTCCTAGCAAGCCGTGTCGGGGCTTGCAGTATACCCGCCAGCCGAACTTCCGGCTTGCTTTTATGAATAAAATAAACGTTACTTGCTGGCCGCGAGTGCATGGGTACCTCTCCATGGAGCCCATTTAAGCTTATTATGTGCAACACTTAAACTTGTTACGCTTTTTCTTTCTATATAGTTGTTCAGACTGGGCTCTTAATGACTTGGTGATTTATTTATACATCTTTTTTATTAATACTGTGTTTCATGTATGACTAACACTTTGATGTTTCTGCTTTTAAAGGCGTATAAATAAAATGAAATATAAAAGAATATTGACTACGAAAACAAAGTTAACATTCGATTCAACTGGATTAAGGCGGGGTTTTGTGGTCTAATTGAGGCCGCTCGCGCCCGCGACGCACCTGCGTCTCTCTCGCGCGAGTGCTCTCTGATCATTACCTAGCCTTAATTAAATCAGGAAGCCCAGCCTTCAAGCCAGTTGAACCAAATGGTACTTTAAATTCGAATAGGTGTTCACAGCTTTTGACTTCATGCAACTTGAGGATTGAAAATTTGGACTTTCGCGCGCACAAGTCTTGGTTTTTCTGCAGGAAATGAAAGCAGATTTGGACGTAGCGTCAGTCGCTTTGGTGATATGAATTATTTTTCTATTTGCCGCTGCAACCTGGTATTTTTTTCTTACAAGATCGTGAACTGATTTATTTTACATATTTAGTAGTTTTGCTTCGAAAAATTTGCGCATAGTTAAGCAATTAGTGGAGATGGTGGACTTTATGTTTTTGCTTTTTGTGGATTTTTTTAGTGCGTCTTCAAAATATGTGGTTCAAACAACAATTCTTTATGAGGGATTAAAGATAATAGAATCTATCCACAGGCGATGTAAAGAATTTTTCTTTCTGCTTTTTGATACCACGTGGATTTACGCACAGTTCAAAGGACGCACTTCTCGTCGCTGTCGACATGCCCCTGCTTGCTTATTCCTAGCTTGCATGTCTCTTTTTATGTTGCTTATCACTACCTTACATGTCGCTTTTTCGAGTAAAGGCATACAAGTTGTAATGATGTATCATATGTAGTGAAGTCTGCCATGTATGCATTCGTGTCATTGATAAGCGTTTGATACAATCAACGCTTTTGATTATAAGCTTAACTGTCTATGTTATCAGGAATGATTAAGCATTGAATCTTATTTGTCAAAATTGTGCGTATTATCAAGAGCAATAGAGAGTTGTTACTACTCCAATATCACTTATGAAAAACTTTGAATTCTAAGTAAAGCAAGCTGTTTGCGATAGAGTAAAGCATCTTCCGTTGCGCACGTTTGCGTTCTGAAGTGTAGTTGCGGAGCTTTGCCGCAGTTGGGTCGCCTTGGTAGAAAAGTACACCTACAGTGACTGATGGAACCGATCACTGCTGAAATCGAACTCATATGACTACCCCAATGTCTTCTGCTTAAATCTCTCAAATTGTACTGATGTTGTGCATATCCATTCATATTTGACAATGTCTCTTTTACTGCCACTCTACTGTCATTGTTCTCGCTTCAATATCTCTGACTAATCACGCTTGATCCCATCTGCTTTGAGTTTCTACATTTCTCAAATGAACACAGTGTAGAATAACTTCTTCGTAAAAGTGCTTTCATATAATTCGTAGATTCTTGACTATGTTGTTTTATGGCCGCCACCATTGTCTCATTATTGTCAAGCATGTAACGCCTCTTATGGATTTCTTTAAAGACATGGATCTTTTCCAGCTTGGCAGTACCCCAAATTTTGGTCGATTATGGTCAATACTGCTCGATTATGGCTAATGTTACTGATAGCGCAGTGCAGTAAATTCATGTCCGTGTTGTATGCCGCTTTAGGTAAGAATTTACATGCGGAGTATGCTATACTTAGTTTTGCTAAATGCATGCCTCCCGATGCTGGTGTGAAACATGATTTGAAGCAAAAATGGAAAAAGTCGAATATAAGAATTTGGGCAGTCAACAATGTCAGCCACGCTTGGCTTTACGTAATGTGTTCATCAGTGACAATCCAAGTGTAAGGAATAATTCAAAGACTTTACACAACCCGATTATCAACGATAAATATTTTCAACTTGATTCTCTTTTCCATAAATAACCACAAAATCATTTGCAGTTAAAAAACCAGCACTTGGCATCGAATGTGCTATCGGCGGCAGTAGCTTATATAGTCAGTGTCATGCCTTTGATAGTATACAGGGTGGTCCACATGAAGTGTGACACAACGAGAAAAGATAACTTTGCATGGACTGAATGAAATCAAGAGCTTTTGTCCTCACCTGATAGCGAAGAGAATTCTGTAAAGAATGCTAACTTTTGGGATACCTGTCCCTGTTTGTTTCAAAATTATTTTTTCTCCTTCAAACCTCTTTCGAGATTTCTTGGATTTGCGAGCGATGTTTTTTGCTCTTAAACTCTCACCAGGTTTCTCGTCGGCAAATAAAATGACATGGGTTTTAAAAAGCAGACTCTTTCTTCCAGGTAGACAAAAAAGAGTGTTTGTTGATTCAAGGATGAGCGAGCTAAAGGACCAAATATCATTTTTTTTCATTGATCAAACGATAAATTTTACACAACTGCAATTTCATCTTTTCGCTATAGATTGGTGTCCAGTCATGCAAAAATTCCCAAAAACGTGTATAGTATTTCCTTTGATCCAATAAGGTGCCACAGTCCTTTAAAGTTTGTTTTCGATGCTTTTTCCAGAATCTCGAAAAATTGCGATTTTTGTTGCCATGGCGACTGCCTTTGGGAAACCTTCGAGCTTGACCATTTTCACTAAGAACCGAAGTCGGAAACAATCACAACGGAACAAAAGAATATGGAGAAGACGACTATTATTGAAACATGGAATGGAAAAGACTAGAAAATGATTTCTTTGCAGCCAGTAAAACATCATGTGGGCCACATATGAAAAAACACTGTTAGGCCTTTCCACTCGAACATTCTTGAACCCACAAATTTTCTTCCTAGCCTATCTGTGAGGCAAAACGCCCGCTCTTCCTTATCCATTTCATTGGATTTGCTAAAAGGAGATCCTGGGACTAAGTTCCATCAAAAACCATTGCGCGCATTTTGAAATTTTCTCCGAGTAAATTCTTTCATCGAAGCCAAAGGTGGATATCCCAAAAGTACTCTACAATGTCCTATACGAAAATTGCTTGTCTATTTGATGAATACAAAAACTTTCAATTTCATTGAGTTTTAACAAAGTTGCGAAAGCTTTTATGCGTCACATTTCATGTAAATCACCCTGTAGAAATAGACTTTAAAAGGTGAAGGTTTTTTAATCCCTCGTCCTTCCCCCCCCCCCCTCTTCCCTTGGAATGTTTTTCTTAAAAACTTTTAAAAGAAAAAGAAACAAAAATTCAAAAAAGAATTGCAAAAGATTCTGTTAAATCGGGCAAAAACGCTGCGATAAATTTCAATTCTTTGGCGCTATTTCTCGCAGGTTTTGTTTCACCACCGGTACACAACTCCTAGGGAAGACAAAAAGACAATTTCCTTCTTCGCGGTGTTGCGAAAGCAATCATGCTTGAAACTGTCACTGAAACTGTGGCGATTGTCACAAGTGGTTATACAGGAGAATTACTTACAAAAACGAATAATTTTATCTTTATGAAGTGTAAAGTACGCTTCAAAGCAAATTTGGTCTATCTTTCAAACCCTCGTTTTGAATCAACGGAGGGAAGGGACATCAGGTCAGGATCAAATGCCCCACGGAGCGGGTAGCGAGGCAACTGTCGAAGAGGCGCAGACAAGCTAAAAAGAAATGATAGAGTTCCATGTTTTCTCCTCTCTGAACCTTGGCATTTGGAATTGATGTTAGTGGCTATACTATGTTACGCCAGTGCCAGGTTTGTACGGTGGAATTCTTTATTGGCCTTACGTTTCGACAAAATCGTCTTCGTCGGAGGCCTTAATCCACCGTTGTGTTAGTGAGAGTCAGTAGAGTCAGTACGTAGCCGCACCGGAGAGACAGACTACACACTGAGTGTAGGCGGCTCCGTGCTGACTCTACTGACTTTCACTAACACAACGGTGGATTAAGGCCTCCGACGAAGACGATTTTGTCGAAACGTAAGGCCAATAAAGAATCCCACCGTACAAACCTGGCACTGGCATACCATAGTATAACCACTAACAGAAATGATAGAGGCAAAGGAGCATTTCCTCAGATTTTCAGTTGACATAAGATTTTATATATCATTTTATGGGACGACCAGGAGCAGGCAACTTCGCCGACGTTCACTCCCTAACGATACAAATTAGCAGATTTGTGCGCGACTTGCTGGAGACTCTTTTTCCACGCAAGGTTCAAGCGCGGCAGCGTGGTTTTTGGCTTTAATTGCTCAAACCCGACTATCTCGTGAACTCTCTAAAATTATGCATAATCAAAAACCTTTGGAAAACGTTGTAGCTATTTTTAGAAAGTTTCTCAAGTTTGTTTCTAGCAAGAAAAATGCTATGATACCAAGGTACTACCCACTATATTTGCTTCATACATAATCGCTTTAAGTCAGTCATAAGCTTAGCATGCTTTCTATCTTCTTTTTTTTTCAGATGAAGTTGTTTTCTTTTATCGCTTAGAGCGAAGGTTACCAGAGTACATCGCGCTACGTACTTACTGGTAGCATGGTTAGTGTGTGAATTGCCCGATAAATTCATAGTTTGTTTACTTTCGCTTTTGTTGAACATTTCGCACAAGTTTCGCGTTTCTCAGCTACCAAATTGAAGAACTGACTTTAGCTTGCATTTTTATCCTCGATTTCTTTACTGTAAAATCACTGTAAACTCTCAAGTATAATTCACTCGTTGACCGCACGGACTGGACATCATTGCGGTGCACGCGCCGCGAAGTAAAACAGTTGCTCCAGTACAATTTACCATTGTACAAATCGTGCTCGCCTAACATTCTAGCCGCGCCGCACTGACCCGCAGCGTTTGAGCAGTCCGCGGGTCAATGAATCAACGATAGATCAGCGTTAGAAGTAGAGGCTAAGAAGTAAGTTTTTCGAATAAGGTTTAAAAGAGCTGATGACGCTAGTGAAGTGAAAATTCTGGGAACAATTTATGAGAGATATCGGAAAATTACGTCAGGCATACAATAGTAGCTGTTACAAAGACCTTCTGATTTTCCGCGTATACAAGTCAAAACCACGTAAAATTCGTCTTAATCATTAGCTTGTTCAAAAATCTCATTAATTCTTAAGCTTATCGAAAGCTTCTTGTTTGGCTACTTTACATGATATCAAAATGCTGGAAATTCCTATCGTAAGCTTACAGTAATAACGAGCTATTTGTGATAAGTTCATACAGCTAATCCCATTCAAGGCACCATCTTATCATGTGCTATTGCCTACATATTGCATGTAAGTCCAGTTCATTATGAGAAGAGACATGCTACGTTGATTGTTGATATGGTCGAGTGTCAGTCAATAAAGCGCAGCATAGCAGAAGTCAAAGTAAAGCGTTGCTGTTGATTTTTGGAGATTTAAAAAAGATGTTTCAGAATAGATGTGCAAAACTTCTACCAGTGTTGTCCTTGATGCTCCACCCCTAGATTACTGAGAGAATAGTAGAACACAACTCGCTTCACCTTTTCAATGGACCTTGAAGGCAGCGTCCCGGCAAGACGTCTGATTCCAAAATGTAGATTGGATTGCGCAAAGATGTCGAAGACAAGCTTTTCAAATCACAAATCAAATTTGGAAATGTGGAGCAGGGCCGCTAGAATTAAAAAGCAGAGCCTTTGTGGGACCTTAAGGTTACATAGCAATGTGAGAGGCGTGGTCTAACTTGCAGTTTGAAATAAACAATGCGACATCGCGCTAAAGGCGAAATTTGGGAGGATTTTTGGAGCGTACGGAAGGCTTTGGAAAATCTCATTTTCCTCGAGGTTTAATTACTATCTTCCAGAGACTGGCTATCTTACAGTAGTACAAAACCCACTACCCCCTCCCCCACTTTGTGGCATCAATGCAGCAAATAACCAGCTGCTTTTATAAGCTTCCAAAAAATGTGAAAGTGACTACAGATAATTCCCAGTTCGAAAAATAAACTGTGTTTTGAAAAATAACGTTTGACTCAAGTATGTTCACAAAAGCGAGTTTCTCAATCACGAGAATCGTTTTGCAAGGTTAACTTCAATGCGAGCACCTGTAAAGGGAAATCACGCATTGGTAATATAAATCAAATTTTTCGCTTTGGTTTATCAGCGCCGCGTCCCGAATATTTTTGATAGTGCTTTTTACGCTTTATCCATACATATGCAAATTACTTGGACTTTACTTATTTTTAAAAAATTATGGGCCAAAACATGAATTTTAGTCTGAAAATCTGCGTCAAACGCGCACTTTTTCAAATAAACTGCCTTTTTTGTATGAAATAATGGGCACTTTCTGAATATTCAAGTAATCATTAGAAAGAGCTTGGAAAGCTCTTTTGAAGATACTCTCAGGTGGAGCAGCACAAATTCGGATGGCGTTAAATAAAGGCTGTCTGACTTTTTTGAAGTGGCGCTCGAAGGAATGTCGGTGAGGTGCTGCAAGGTGCTGCCAGTTTAACCTGTGAAGGACTTTACACAAAAGCGTTCAAATTGCTGGTTGTTCATAGCTAATCAGAAAGAGATCTTGAAAAATGTTCAAAAAATCAAAGTGCCCCAACTTTTGGATTACCCTAATATTTTGAGAACTAATTGCTACAAAAGGTTAGAAACCTACGGTTCCAATTCCCAGGCTATACAGTATGGCATCACTTATGCGGGAATAGCCCAGCATCACTTTGGCAGAATAAGAATTTTTGGTTTTCATGTCTAATCAAGAAACTACAGCAAATGCGTTTGTGAATGTTTGATGAGGAATGTATTCCGTGAGCAAGTTGGAGGTCCGCAGAAATTTTTCGGACGGAGATACGAATTTTTTGATTTTGCGATCATTTTAAACTTTCAATCAAATTCCGCATGGATTGCTTGATGCAGAAGAAACGTAATGCTATTTTTCACCTAGCTTTGCTCTATTTAATGGTATCCCATATACGTTTTGGGGCTTTGTCTTGTTGCAATGCCATGACAGAAAATAAAAAGCGACATTCTTTTCTTTTTAGCAATAAAAAACAAACTCAAAATCCCTGAAAATCAAAGCAATCAGCTGTTCTGGCTGGCGAATGCCACCGCGTCCTTAAAGGAATCTACACTGGCATTTGAGATCTCAGAAATCCTCCTACAGAATATTGAGAAGGGCAGGAGGTGCTGTTGTTGACAACTTTGCGAGCTAAATTGCCTGTAAGCAGCTGGCAACATGTCGGCATCTTGTTGAAGTTTGCGAGGTGGCAGCTGCCGGCAGGTGAGAGAGCCCAAAAAAGTGTACTCTTTTGAGAGGGAAAGGTGCCCTTTTTGAAGTAGCTGGGCTTTGCCGAGACGTCCGTGAGTTTGGGTAGTGCGACAACATCGTAACGTCAATAAAAAATTAAAAAAATTTCTTTCCTTTGAAGAATCTTTTTTGTTGTATTAATTTGATGATATGTATGTAGAAATATAGTCTAGTGATATGATATTATAAAGCCGTAAAAAAACACCAATAAAAAATCAAAAAAATTTCTTTCCTTTGAAGAATCTTTTTTGTTATATTAATTTGATGATATGTATGTAGAAATATAGTCTAGTGATATGATATTATAAAGCCGTAAAAAAACACCATCTTCTTTTGTAATTCCTTCTTTTTCCTTTTGCAACGATTTCGCCTCTCCTTTGCTCATATAAGTCAGCTACTACGTCGAAGTTTATCACGCAATGCATTAATTATGCACTCTTAGACGCCACCTGTTCGTGGGTTCCTGCTGATTTTTGCGAACACCAATAGGTGACCGAGTAATATATTGGTCAGGATTAGTGCGCTTGCATTCGAAGTCGACGTCTGCAGGTTCAAGTGCGCGAATTGTCAATTTCGGTTGTGAACCAATCCGCGAAAAAACGCCGAAATTGGCAACTTCCAATGTGTGGCAACTCCAGCATTGCCAACATCTGGATGCTATTAGGTGGGGTGGATTACTAATGGCTCTGGAGACGCCGCAAACATGGTGCGTAGGCGACGCAAAGCATGCGCGCACCTTGACGGCGGCGCAGAAAAAACCGAGAAAACTTAGCTCAAACAGAACTTTCTTATCCTGACGCTTCGGTGTTCTGGATTTCCAAGTGTTTTTACTACAATATGAACTTATCAAAAAGGAAAGTTTCATCTCCTAATGATTCTCGGCGATTGACCGTTTTCTCTTCAAACTCATTTTTCCTTCAATGAGAGTTGATGAACAGATTCCAAAGCTGTTCTGTTTAACTAAATCAAAACGCTGAGCATGCCTCTGATAAGAACAATGAGTTATGAAAACACTGACATTTTTGATAAACACCAGTTTTCAGCTTGTGATTTACCGCAGCAAAACTTCCATCATTTATTCCTTCGGAGACATACTCATTGTCGGGCTAGATAACAATGTAGTTCATTGATTTGAAACAAAAACTGAATTTGAAGGAGAGACGGAACTACGTAAATTTTGAGACATTGAAGCACCAAAGTAGTCAGCGATCCGTTAAACAAGTAATGCAGTGTACCTGGTGCCCTCTTCTTTCATCCTTCTCTTTCGCTTGCCTGCGACCATTTTCGCGCGCCTCTTCGCCTCCACGGCTTTAACGGGGATTTGATTCCAGAAACGATAAAGGTTTTCGTTTACTATATCGAGTTTTTTACTTGAGTTTTGGTGAATATGATACAACTTGCTATCGTCTATCGTCTTATCCGCCCTCTAGGTGTTTCTACTAGTGTAAGAAAGACAAGACAGAGCGATTACAGAGAGTCAGTACAAAACACTTGATTAAATGAAGTATTACCTAGAAAATATTTTCAACTTGAGTTGTATGGACATGTAAGCGTATAGCAACACCTCAAAAGCGTTTCTTTGTTTTTCACTGTTTTTTTGTAATTACTTGAAATTTAGGTATTCCTTCTGTTATTTCTGTACTTGTTACCGGATTAGTGATAAGCTCCAGTCGAAGACTATTCCAAAAGTATGCAAATATTTTCGCTCTCAGCGCATGCGAGTTAGTTGAGGGTAAGCCAAGTCTTCTATTCAGATCATTGATGACTTTGTTTAACCATGTTGAGGAAAACGTCAAAATGAAACTTACCTGCGTCGAAAAAGATTTGTTTGATTCTCCAAACATTAATCAGTAAGTTGGTTCAGCCACTAGCTACATTTTGGCTGCGTTTGGAAGAGCACCTAAGATCTGCAATCGCACCTTGTTCAAGAGAGCAACAGTATATGACTGTTTCTTCAAGGTGGGCAGGTAGTCAATAAGAGTTTTTCACTATTGCCCAGTTTCAATCATACGTATGTTGTATGATCGAGACTGCACAATATGAGCTGCGAAGTTGAGAGGACTGACGAAGGCATGACTTGGTCTTAGTTAACTTTTGATAAATAATTGACTTACAGTAGTCTATCTCAAACGAAAAAATTCTAACAACGCTCTGCATAACAAATGACAGAAATGTTTGTTGCGGTTTGCTTCCGCAGGTCATTTCATCCGGGAATGTGTGCAGATGCTGTTCGTAGCTCATAGGTCTAAGACATACCTCCAGCGATTACGTCGTTACAATTTTCGATCGCTGCGATTAGATCTGAAGAACTTTTCATTGCGTGAAAATCGTCATTGCTTTATTACCGGACATACCCAAAGCGAATTTGTTGACGCTCACGTATCACACTGCGTTATACCACAGAAAAAACTGCGCTGATTTGTCTGAAGTGCATATATACAAGGGATTTTGAACAAAATGTGGTGCCATATGTTTTCAGAGAACGTTACATCAAACAAGGGAGGATATGGAATTATACTCACTCTAGCATTTACAAACGTTTTTCCACCGGCGCAAATTAAAGGCAGCGGCTCTGCAGATTTTCAATCTCAGGGTTTTGGGAAATTTGGGGCTATTCCGGCCCCCTGAATCACGACATGAACTCCCCTTAGCGCGAAAATGGGGAAAACCCCGTCTTTTGAAACCCCATTTGAGACGGGCGCGGACGAGTGAGCCGTTTTTCTCTGCCGTCAGAGACACAGAGTAAGGAGGTAGAGAGCGCTAGAACAATTTTGCCCTACGAAGCTACGAGTGACGGCGCGTTTTCTATCGGCAAACATACTCGTCCGCACAAGGTGTTAGGGGAGCGAAAGGAGGAAGGGAAGCGGAGCTTGGCTCGCCCCCCTGGCTTACAGAATCCACATTTTCGGCCCGAAGTTGCTCTTTTGGTCCATTTGGAGGGCTTCCTATCCATCTATGTCAAATTCTGAGGTAGGTCTATTCTGCCGAGCCGCTGCCTTAAACATCTGCAATGAAATCGACTACTAGTTCATAAGTTGAGTTTACTCATTAAATCATTGGTAGGTACACGTCAGCTTCGTAATAGTAAAGCCTTGTTTTCGGCCGTGTGAAAAAAACTCTGGGTAGGCATATTCTAGCAATGAGTGCTGCATGAATTCTTGTCTGCTAGTCTGCGAACGATTATATAATGCCTAAGCAACCGATGTTGTACATCTATTCTGCTTCAGATATTACAGCATCAAGATTCGGTCAACATCTACTCGCTATTAATAAACAAGAATAGGAGAAGATTAGTGCATTGCGAGAACAGTACTGCTAGCTCAGAAGATGAGGTGACATATGGGAAGCATTCCATACTATATACCTTGCATGTGTTTTTAAGAATAAATAGTATGGAATGTTCAATGACCATTCTTCTTTTATGCAAAGAGGGAGCACTTGTGAGAGATGGAGTAGTTATAAATGAGATTCGCATTTCCAAATAATACAAAAATTCCCACAAAGAAGAAGCCATTCGAAGCGATTCGCCCTCGCTGGTGCAAAACTAGCGAGTTCAACATCGCTGAGTTTGAGCGATTTCGCAACGATATCCCTGTTGAGAGTATGCCAGCCCGAAAAAGCCTGCGATTCGTCGCAGCGTCAATCTAACCCAAATGCAGCGGGACTACAGGTTGCGCCTGCGCTGCGAACGCGAGATTTGTGTTCGAGTTGGAGATCGCAGTGACTGGAATCGCGGAGGTATGCCTTAGGCCATGAACTGGTTGTCGACATTACAGCTCTTTACATGCGCCTAATCGCGTGGATTATTGTCTTTCTTACAATAACCATTACAATGTTGAGTGTAATACAAGTGCGATCTTTATTTTTTGAATTTTTGAACGCATCCACATCACAAATTATCTAAATCAGAAAACGTAAACGAAAGCTTTGCGGTTGGATCTAGAAATGAAGTTGCTTCAATTTTTCTAGCTCTTTTTATCATAAAGGTTCAGACATGTTGGCCTCATGCTCTCATTCTTGGCACTGAGCTGCCTGCTTTCTGCTTGCTGTTGGCCTCATGCGAGCGGTTGATGATAACATTCCATCCTACATCCTATTCTAAAATTATGGAAATGAAAATTCGCTTACTAATACTTGTTCCCATCGCGGGATTGGTGAGTTTCTATGCTAGTCCAAAGTGATCGGTTTCTTTGAATGCTTTGTACTATGTTGCGAAAGACTACTCATTTCAATGAAAGCATTGATCAATTTGAAAGCATTGATCAATTCTTAACTTTAGATCTCAATTTCTGCAGCATGTTTATCAGCATATTTAGATGGCAACAGAATTCTGGATTCTTCAAGGTGCTTTATACTGGATAGTACGGCTCTTTGGTTAGTGAACATACGCTCGAAGTGAAGATCAGATTATATTTTTAGTCGTTAAGTCATTTTGAAACTGTTTTGACCTCGCATTGCCTGCTTCGTAACTCTGCAGAGATAAAAAATCGGATTGGTTTATGTGCTCAAATGTAAAGGTTGTGTGCTACGCATTGTAAACAATTCTTTATGATTTTTGGAAGATATTCATCTACAACCCGTTGCAAGAAATTGGAATGGAAGTTTTCTGATTTCTGCTCGGTCTTCTTAACTTACCTAAGAAACACTTTGGAAGAATTTCATACGGAAATTGCCCTCAAGACGTAAGCTTTGCTCTAGCAAGAGAGATCACTAATGGAATAGCTAATCATCGCATTGTGCATATCCTTGGTGAAAACTCGACACGCTGATTCTAAATCTTTTTTTTGAATTTGCCGCGCGCATAAATGAACGCAGCGTTACCATCTTCATAACTAAAATGAAGTCAGGCATCATTATATTAGCTGTGAAGCGTTTTTGTAGCAAGTGTATTAACATTCACTAAAGCTTACTCTCAGCGCTAAGAAGATTTGAAGGATTGATTTTCTGCAAGTGACTGATTGTATAGGGTGCGGGAAAAGTACTATCCCTCCAACTTGGCTCCTGAAATATCTCAAACTTACAGCAAATCTGTAGTCTTTTGATTCCCACACGTAGGAGAGATCCTTGAGATTAGATAAAGATAAGTTTGATTTGAAACTGTTTCCTTCTATCCGTTTGAACGAGTGATAACAGCGCGCAAGAACATTAGGATGCGCCGACAGCATACAAGCGCGATTTTACGCGACCGTAACTGTACCAAATCGAGCTGGTATGTAGCGCATGACCTCTTTCTAGTATTCTATACCCATTTTGATAATTTATAGAAAGGTGACTCTTATTTCGACCAAATAAGGAAGATTACATCACACGCAAATCACAAAAATTCTCAAAAAGACGCGAGTCAGATCTGCGCTTGCTTAATGAGTTGGATTCAAACTATGACTTGAAACTCCAGATTCCAACAAAAAATAACAGGAGTAATGAAAAGAGCGTCGGACTTTGTCTACATCACGATCTTGGAGCGAGAAACGATTATACCTAGTCTCTGTGCCACGCTTTCTGGACGCACTCTGTTGCTCCGCAGCCACTTCCTCGTTAGATTGACAGCTTTTCTCCTAGCGCAACTGCTGACTGGATACTTTCAGAATATTGCGTGATCCACTACCACATTCGTTGAGCAGTACAGGATTTCTCAAGTTTACGTGACAAACAAATTTTTCAAAAATCCTTATACTTCTTCTCATTTGTAAGGCGCAAGATTTTATTAGGGTGATCCAAAAGTAATGGAGCACCTCGGGAATAAATGCAGTTTTCTCAAGTAGAAAAGCTAATTGGAAGTCCAAGTTTTGGCAGATGTTAATACATAACAAAACCTTATAATCGAGGTCTACAGTTGGGCACTGCCACATGGCGTTATTTTTATGAGCGCTTAAGATTAAAGCTCATCTCTTTAAATAATTTCGAACTTTAAGCAGCAGCGGCGCAGTAGAACAAGTGAGCCTACCAAAGATATCTGCGCAGCAGTAGGTGAGGGGACTGTCACCAAATCCACGATAGGTCGGTGGTCCCAAAGTTTTAGAACAGATGATATATGTAGCATTGAGTATTAGGAGACATATTACTTATTCTTTCATCAAAGTAATTAAATAAGCTCAACCTTAACAGTTGCTTTCCGGTAGTGCTTTTTACGCTCTATCCACACATATGCAGATTACTTCGACTTTTCTCATTTTCAAAAAATTGTTGGCCACAACAATAATTTAGTTTGAAAATCTGCGCCGAACACCGCGTTTTTTCGAATAAAGTGCCTTCTTTCTATGAAATAATGGACAATTTATGAATATTTAAGCAATCATTAGAAAGAGCTTGGAAAGCTCTTTTGAACGGTATGCCAAACGTCGAGGTACTTTCAGGTGCAGCAGCACAAATTCGGACGGCGTTCAAAAAAGTCTGTCTGACTTCTTTAAAGCGCCGCTCGAAGGAATGTCGTTGAAATGCTGCAAGGTGCTGTCAAGATAACCTGCGAAAGACACTTTATACAAAAGCGTTCCAATTACTGGTTGTTCAGAGCTAATCAGAAAGAGATGTTGAAGAGTGTTCAAAAAATCCAGGTGCCCCATTACTTTTGGATCACCCTAATATATGGATCACCCTAATATATCAACGCTGCGAAAAGGGACCGCCGTTGGTTAAAATTGTAGAATCTTGAAGCCAGTTTTTGTAAAATGCTAGAATATATTCTAACTTGAAAATTATGCCAAATTCACAAAAAACTTGTGATTCACACCAATTTTTTGAACTTTACTTGAGGGACAGTAATTATTCCGCACCTTGTAGCTATTCTTGCAAAAATCAAAACCCCGGCAGAATTTTTTATTGTTAAATTAAACGCTGTGTTCTTTTGGTTTTTGCTCCCTATGAAGAAGACGAAACGAAACCCTATTAAATGCACTTCAGATCTCTTTTACATAATTGTTGTGCAAGATATGGACCACTCTTAGGATAACAAAAAATACTTTTCAAATAAATTTTGTCACATCAAAATTGGGGTTGTGATTTTGATTTACGCGCAAGATTTTTTGAACTGATTTTTTAGGTAGTTTCCATTTAGGTTTGCAACATTTCACTTCGTATTCATCAGCTTCAGTTCTTTTGCTTCATTTGGTTCATTTATCGTAATGGGCATCACATTGGTATACTTTCTCGCTTCGGAAAAAAGCCAATTATAAATACTTTTTCAGAAGGGAATGCGCCACACAATGCGCCAGGAATCTGCCAATTTGAGGGTGAGTTGGGAACAATTGTCCAAGTATCAAATTAACACCTTTTAAACTAATGTTGCACATCGTACATCAAACTGCTTTATATTCGTGCTGAATCCACGAGAATGATTAAAATATTATTTTGGTGCAAAAATAATGCCCATTTTATTCAGGCATACTTTGTAAACACCTTTTTATCGAGGTTTTCTTTTCGATACAGAGTTTGCGTATTATTAGGAAGCTTTCCCTATACATTTTGCTAATAGTCGTGCAATAAGACTTCTATTCTCATCTGTGAAATACCAGCTTTTTGCACAGTCGAATCAAAGTCGAAATTGTATTGCTTCCACTTTATTGGCCACATCGGAGGCAGAAAAACGAATTCTCTTGAGAACATCTTATAGTTACTGTAGGAATGAATATTGTTTACCTCTTGCACGCCTAAGTAGATTTTTCAAAATCTCCGGTCTGCGCCCCAAAATGATTTATCGTTTTGGCATTCTATAGATCAAAGATTTCTCATGATCAAAGCAATCGCTGAAGCTCCATACATTTCTGTAAGCTTGAGATTAAAACATCCTTACAATTTTCTAGAAGAATTTAGCTATTCAGCGCATAAAGAATTCTAAATATTCACAACTTGCAACTTTCAGGTTACCACAATAGGCTCAGAAAAGTGAACAGTCTTGAAATTTGTATTTCTTTTCGCAGAACTCTTTTGTTGAAGTCTTTTCTATGCACACGTATACTACTAGCTTGCGGCTACAAAATAAACGAATCACCAGTCATATGCAGGGTCAAGCAAGGGGTGTGATACACGATCGCTGGTTACGTCCCCCTTCCCCCTGATTGCTGTCTTATTAAGCCCCCCCCCCCCCTGAATTATATACCTAAGATAGCATTACTGAAGGCCCTGTCAAACATAATGGGCAACATATCCATAATGAGCATGTCAAGTTTAGGCTGTCGATTCGTATGAATAACGTCCGTTGAAAATGTTTTTTGACATAGTTAATGGGATGTGGCACCACCTTTAAAAAGCTGTGCAGCAACAGCACACCCCCTTAAAAGCTGCCACAGCTTTTAAGGGGGTGTGCCACACCCCATTAACTATATCAAAAAACATTTTTAGCAAACAGTATTTATAGGAATCGATAGCCTAAACCTCATTCCATGGGAATGTTAAGCCTGATCCGTCTTCTTAGCTCTAGTACGCCTGATCCGTCTTCTTAGCCCCAATATTTGGTGAAAGCACAGCCATTAAAAGCAGAAAATGGGAAAAATGAGATTTTGATTGGCTTCTAATTTCACAGTTTGGAGGTCTTTTGAAGCGGAATTTCTGAGATGGACAAAAAAGGAGTAGTGCTTTGTCTTGAGTGCAAAAACGGATAGCTAATTCACTTTTGAAACAAAGTTAACCATGTTGGAATTTGACCATTTCATTTAGGTAGTTTAGTATTTTGAATCTTCAGAACTCGCTCAAACTTTGTCTACAGGGATTAATTGACATGCTTCTTATGGATATGATACGAATATCATGTTATCACTATTATCAGATTACCCAACTACGACCCCCTCCCCTTTTGAGTCCTCAATACGACCCCCCAGGTGTGGCGTGCCACACCCCAAGCTTGACCCTGGTCATAGGAACTAAAACTTGGAGGGAGTCCAGGACCCAGCACAGATTCTGGAAGCAGGTTGAACTCGTTCTAAGGACAAAGAGCAAAGGGGATATCGTTTTCAAAGCGTCCGGGGCGGAGTCCCGGAAAAATCGCGTACATGCATTACTAGCGAAGTATGCGGAGTTAATTGGACATACAGTGTGCAAGGCAATTCCACACACTTTCTTAGTGCCAGAAGCAAACACTGTGTTTAGCTGGACACATGAGGATCCAACATAGACAGTAATTTTGTGACCCTGACTGAGACACTGCCCAACCGGCAGCTCAGATGGTGTTCTAACAACTGAGATATTCGCCTATGGACCCAAGGATCGTACTTCGCATGGATTCAAGGCGCCATACATTAGTTTCGCGTAGGTTCTTGCGCGGTATGCACATAATGCAAGTCGTCCGATAATACGATCCTGTGGTCTAGTTTGGAGGCGTCTATCTCAGCCATTAGTGAGTCATTTGTACTACCGCTTGAGCAGTGCCTTAGTTAGGCCCCCAAAATTACATTCCACGTAAAATCCCCATAGGTCCAGATTTGCCTAAACGCTGCCTTTAGAGATAGGTTATTACACGGTGGACGTGCTCCATCCTATCTAGCGAAAAGCGCGCGATTTGAAACAAAGCCAAAATCAACAAACAAATTGCTTGATTACAACGTGGAGACAAGCATATTACACCAAATCTGGATTTTAAGCATAGAATGTTATATGGAGAAGTACTTCAAGAGTCCCAAAAACTCAAGTGAAGCAGTGGCGTACCGAGGGGGGGGGGAGCGGGGTGGGGGGCCATCCGAGAATGGGTCGCGAAATTTTTGAAAGTTACTTAAATGTTTCTAAAAATTTGCAGAGGACTTGTTTTTACTTGTAAATAATTAGAATAATTTTTAAAAATTCTTAAAATTCAAATTAGCCTTGTAAAATAATTTTTCGAGGGCGTGGCTGCCGCCATGCCCCCTTTTTTGAAATTGTGGGGTCAGGGGCTCGGAAAAATTTTGGGAAACATTCCAAAAAATTTTTCGGAGTGCGTGGCTGAGGCCACGAACCTTCACTAGAAAAAATTTTTGTCGCGCCCTCTCCGAGCCGAAATCCTGGGTACGCCACTGATGTGAAGATATACTTCCAAAGTTTTCAGACCCACCAAACATCTGAGATCGTTTGAAGCAAATATTTCTTTGAATTCACATAAGTTATAGACCTTTCTATCGTGAACGGATTCCCCACTTAGAAATCTATCCTTGATCATGAAGAATTTTTCATATTAGTAAAATGCCGTGTTATGCCAAACCAGGTTTGTTGGTGGATCTCTTTATTAGACCTGACGGTTTCGACTGTCTCGTCTTCTTCAGAGGTCTGAATGAAGATCATAGGTTTATCTTAATCTGGACAATACACCACCAAGAGCCTCCTCTCACGCTTTGCCAGTCTAGACCTAGTCAGAAGCTAGCAACACGAGACCATGGAGGTTAAGAAACGAGCCGACCTTGAGTCCACCGCATTCCAGTAAGTCCGCACAGCTACTTAGTAACGGACGTCACTGAGTGTCACCCAGTGAGTCAATGCTTTTATGTGCGTCTGTTAGATGACATAACGATAGATACGGCAGAAGATCACTGCTAATCGACACACATTCATTTTTGACATTCATTTTTGGTTTTCTCGCGGAAATCCACGCTGCTTCAAGATTTGTGTCGCCCCAAAGGTGTCGTTAATACTCCTCGTCTTAATCCTGCTAGGTGTTCTTTTAGCCTTATGCCTAACATTCTACCCGTCTCTCCTATGTAGCATTCGTGACAGCTGAGACACTCTAACTAGTATACTACACCTGTCTTTGCACAGTTTCCCAACTTTCCATATGGACAGACAATGCATTGATTCAGGACGCATTCGTTATCGTATAGCCTATTCCGAACTAACTGCTTTTTCAAATTATCATTCGGGATGTCAACAAGTATAACATCATTTTCAAGTTGAGTTCGGTGTATGCATTGTCTTATCGCCGCGCTAAGTTTATCAGATACAAACGGGATGCAAAGAGGTATTTTACCTTAGTTTCGCTCACGATTGTGCGTTTCAGACTGCGTTTTAAATTTGTGGCATTGTCTTTGTTGCACATAACCGTTGCTGCGCGCGATTTCCGATGCCAGTTTTCGTTACTCTAGCCGTTCCTCGTTGCCCGTGCACACAGCTGTAGCAGTTTTGATCATGTTGCGAATGACTGCTCGTTTCGTTGCTGCGGGGTGAGCTGAGTTGGCGTGGATCAGTATGTTCTTGGAGGTTTCCTTACGATACCACTTAACATGCAAAATACCGTTAGACAGACTGATTTGCACGTTCAGGTAAGGAAGCCATCCATTACGTGGTGTTTCTCGGGTCAGCCTGATGTACCGGGACTGTTGGTTCAAGATGTTGAAACACTCATCCATTTCGGCTTGAGTTGATGTTACCACACAACAGTCGTCGATGTAACGACAGTACATCAAAGGCATGCGCGCAAGCACTGGCTGTTCAATCCTACTCATGAAACAAATTGCGAGGACAAGCGCTAGGCGTTGGCCCATAGCAAGTCCTCGTGTCTGAGAGTAATAACTCCCAGACCACTTGAAGATGTTACATTTCATGCATGCTTGGATGAGGACCAGTACTTGCGTTTTGCTCAGCCCAAAGGTACTTATGGTGTTGATGTGCTTGTCCAACAACTCCGAAAGAGCCTGCAGTGCGTCATCGTTGTGAACATTGGTGTACAGAGAAGTCACATTGAATGACTCTATAATAGCACCTTGTTCAAAGTTCGTATTTCGCAGCTGCTCTAGGAATTGATGTGTGTTGGATAAGTGTGAAGGTACCTTGGGCAGAAGCTGACTCACGATCTTGTTGAGAAACCACGATATACGATCTGTAGGACCTCCAACACAGCTGATGATGGGCCGAATTTTGAAAATTTCGGGTGACATGGAGCTCAGATCGTGTGATGAAATTTTATGCGTCTTTATCAGGTGATAGAAGACCGGGCAATTTGGATTCTCTAATTTCAACCTGCTGACTAGTCGCTCATCGAGACCTGCACATCGTCCTACGCTAATCCAAATGTCATTGAGTCTTCGACATTGCGCCTGATAGTCCTTCTTACAAGGAAAGGAAGGTTGGTCGAAGTGGCCTTTTGAAATGAAGTCTATACTGTCTTGTAGAGCTTGGAACGCTGGTTCCAAATCTACCTTTGCTATCTGCTGCGGGCTTCTGGGCGACGAGTTATGAAGGTTTTTGTGAGTAAAAATCTGAATGCAAAAATAGGATAAAATGAATTGTAACCTTTTCCCAATATTCAAATGAGGTAGCAGCGAATTGGTATATTTGA